CTACTAGCACCCAAACAGTTGTAAGAAGATTAGGGTGGCATGCTGTTGAAGGGAATGTAGGGGGTGACCTATGCCTATATAATTAAGTACTGTGGAGAGTTTCTTTGATTCTTGGCGGTCTGGATCCGTCATCTGGTTATTGACATCTGAGTCTTTGGACTTGCGCGAACTGTCCAACCATGTTGTCTGCAGACACTGAGACCGATCAGAGCCTAACATTAGACCTGCCAGCCTTGGATCCACCAACTGTGATTTTCCTGCTTGTCTTACTACTTTCTGCTTCATCACCCCTACAGTTAAACAAGTCAGGAAAAACCTTCAACTTAAAATCTGACCCCAAAACGTGTCAGACTGCACTTACCTACTCTTAGAACAGTGTGAACCACCTCGTAACAATATTTCAAGCCAAAACTATCCCATGTAGCTGGCTCTTTTTTCACAATTGATTATAAAATGAAAGCATCTACATAAACTTCAATATACTTTATTATACATCATGTGTTGAGCTGAAGTTTATTACATATATTTAATAATTTGGGAGTGTGGTACACTGTATAGTATTTACTTATGTGCAGTGGCACACAAGTTTTGCAGACATTCCAAGTTTCACTGCACTTCCCTTTGGAAAATCATGCTCTACATCCCCTAGTGGGATTTATTTTTCCCCCACTAGTTGCCACTTTTTCTTAAATATTGTCATGAATTTTTTCTGAAAGCCTCAAAGGTGAATCTTTATACAGAACTCCTCCTATGAATACTAGAAAAAATGCCAGCTTCTGTGTTGCGTTCAGTTGAATTATCAGTTACCCAGACTCTAGCTATTTCTGCTAGGAAATGTTTGTATTTCATTTATTTGTAAGTTATAGTTGCAGAAATTTTTAAATGCAGTGAATATGGCACCGTCAAAAGGGCTAGGTTTTTTGCTTTTGTTTTGCCATTTTGTGTTTTTACATGATACTGCTGTTCACCAATTGTTAGTCTGCTTAATTACCTCGTATAGCTGTTACAATCCACTATGCACCTACATTTTATTGTTATATATGGATTTCATAGACACGTGAATAGAAATCATATGCATTTGCCTTTTGTCTTTCCATATAGCAAGAACATTGGATCCTTTCCACAAAAACTTTATTTCTCCTCTTCAAAGGTACTTTGATTTTTCTTTTAGTAATCTTGGCAAGCCACAACTCTCCCTTATAATACTTCAGACTAGTGTTTGCTTTTTAAAAATATCTCAGCAATAGACACAGTGTTGTAATGATATTCTTGGTAAACATGATGTCAAGAACCAAGAAAAGATCATAAAATAGATAAGACCAGTATCCTATAGTTTTAGCGTTTACCTGAATAAATCTCCAAATTGCAAATATATCCAGTCTCACTTTTACAAAGCGTAATCACTAAAATCCCATGTTTTATTACTTTTGCCAGATTATACGTTGAGGCTGATATGTCTTCTCCATTGCTTCACATGTAGACCGAGATTCTGGAGTGAAGTAATTCAAACGATGTCTGACTTTGTGAAGTCTGTCTTAGCTTGTGAATTATTTCTAAAGTGTAAGAATTTTCTTAAACCTCATTATAGTCATAGGTTTAGGAAATAGGGCTGCAAGCAAAGGACTAGTTACCTAGTGATCTTTCTACAATTTTTCATTGATTCAATCAATATAAGTAAACTGAGAAACTTATTTATATCCCTTTGGTAACCTCTATACATGGTGAAGGAGTCCTGGTGGTATAGTGCAGTTATGAGTTGAGCTGATAACTGTAAGGTCAGCAGTTTAAATCCACCAGTCACTTCTCAGGAGAAAGACAAGGCTGTCTACTCTGTACAGAGTTACAGACTTAGAAACCCACAAAGGAAGTTCCACCCTGCCATATAGGGTCTCAATGAGTCATCATCAAGTAAAGAGCAGTGAGTTTGGTTGAGGTTGGTTATCCATGGTGAAGTTTATCAGAGGTTTTGTTAGATTTGTCCATTTGCTGATGGTATATATTGGTCTGAATAGTAATCAAAGATACCCTTATCAAAAAGTAAATCTATTACTCCACATATACTTCCTGAATCTCCAAGTTGAACCAATTATGCTTTATTTATTTATATAATCTTCCTAGTACTAATAAAATGTCATTTTATATCTATTCTTTTTCAGAATCACTTTCACTGTTAATTCTCACATTTCATTTTTGCCTTCATGATGGTCTAATTCCAGACTCTCTACTATTATCTGATAAAGTATCACTGAATAGCTGACTACCATATATTCCAAAGGTACTCATACACTAAGACAGGGTCTGAACATAGTTCAATAAAAATTTTTCACTATTGTGATGAATAATTTTTGAAACTTTTGCCATACTGAAATAGGAGTAGAAAAATTTGTAAGCATTGTATGCCAAATCTCTGGGAACATAAATTGAACAGTTGACAGTCATGCAGAGCACTGAGGAAAAATGGGTACAGTACAAATAAGACACAGGTTTGAAGTATCTTGGCTTACCTTGCACAAGTGCACTTCTTAGAATCGTAGCCTAAACTAAGATAAAGAATACAGTCCAGAAGGCACTTCTAATGACCTATACTGCTTTCAGGCTTAAACACTGCATAAACTAATGTAAGTGTAAACACAAGTTTATTTGTGACCAGTTAGCAAGGTTCAAGCGAAAAACCACGCATATACTCATGATCAGGCTGAATTCATCAAGCATATACTCAGGTTGAATTTATGATTGGTTATTGGGATGTAAAAGTTAGAAGCAAAGACAAAGGATCTGAATTTGGCACTTTCATGTGAGGCTCTTGAAAAGACCATGGCTTGGGCCAGGTGCACTTTACTCCACAAAGTGACTTACAATGTTAGGGCTGTACAGCAGTTTTGTCCAATACAGTACGTCATTTTATTTCTTTGCTACTGCTTCCATGAGTTGATTGTGGATATAAGCAAAATGAAAGCTCTGACAATGGCTATCTTTTCTCCATTTTTCATGATAATCGTATATTGATCTAGGAGTGACAATTGTTTACTTGAATCAAAATCTGTATTGAAGATTTTGCCATCTTTGATTTTCATCGGCAAGTGCTTCTGGTCCTCCTCACTCTCAGTAACACTGTGTCATTTGCCTACTAGAGGATGTAGGTGAAGCCACCTGCAATCCTGATGCCGCTATTTATTCATATAGTCCAGTTTATTTGCTCCGCGTACAGATTAAATATGAATGATGAAAGGATACAACCCCAACACATTTTTCCGGATTTTAATTGACACTAGGTCTTTCCAGACTATACATCAGACCTTGGGCTTTGTCCTCTGCCCTATTTGCCCTGTTACTACAGGAAATAAACGATTCCTTCACAATTGACAAGGAAGTCTTCTGATTCCTATGCATGCATTTCATTGTACATTTAGAGCTATTTTCATCCTGTGTTCTCAGAGGTCATCAGAAAAATCAAGGTGATAGTCGCAATTTTCACTCACTCACTACCATTGAGTCAATACCAACCCATAACAACCCTATAGGATGGTAGAACCACCCTTGTGGATTTCCAAGATTATAAATGTTTACACAAATAGAAAGCCCCATCTTTCTCCTGCAGAATGGCTGGTGGTTTTGAACTTACCCTGCAGTTGGCAGCCAAACGTATAACCACTACACACCAGGACTTGAATGCGTGGCAGGGAGTTTGGGGGTTTTTTGTTTGCTTGTTTCTCACAATTTTATCATTATTGCTATAGCAACTAAAGTAACAACTATTTGATTTCACCATATTTACCCTCCATCTGCACTATATTCTGATACTATTGGTAATCATTTGAATCATCACCATGGTACTATATGCCGTAGATTTCCCATGTTGCTATATCACAATATTCCTTGACTCTTTTAACAACCCAACCCTAGAACCTAATTTTGATAATTTATGTCCTCGGACTATTTGTGGACAATTACTGAAACTGAGTCCCAGAAGGAAATAGCACATTTTAATTAGAAAAAATTCAAAGAATGTTTAATAAAGGGACTATTTGCAACTCTATGGTCAGGCTCTAGAGAAATAGCAAGAGGTGGCAATTGCCAGCAGCAGAGGTAGTAACGTCCCTAAGTTTGAAAGGAAGCATGGAGAAAAAGGTTACCAGAGGCCAGAAAGAAAAAGTATCCAGACAGGGCCACCTTGAGAGAACCTGGGTATCTTGGTGGATAGGCGCAGCCATCCCCCAGCAGGGAATCAGGAGAATCTCTCCTTTACATGCTCTACCAGACTTTCCTATCAGATCTCAGCCCAGACCCACTGGAAAGCCAGAGGACCCGTATGACTATACCGGTAAACCTCCTGGGGGCAGAGAACAAGGTGTAAGATGATAGAGAGTAGAAGGGGACTACTGGTTATATAAAGAACTTCAAGAATGCTTTAATTTTAAGGTATATTATAGAGAAGAAGGCTCTCATAGTGTAATGAGAAATATTTCTCACCTTGGAACCAAGAATCTCCTCAACTCTTGAGACAGTAAGGATTTGGAAAAAACGAATTCCCCTATTCTACAAACCTCTTCAAAGGAAGAGTGACTTATTAACCATCTGAGAGTTCTGCTAAGTAATTGAAAATACTTTAGTTCTTATTCTTAGATGTTCCACAAGTAACAAAATATTTAGGGTTTTTTTCAGTCATCAAGTTTATTAAATATTTTCATTTACTAACCTATTAAATTTGATGATTGATTATAATAAATAGCTTGGTAATAAAATAATTTAAGTGAAACCGTTTTTAGAGCCCCTAGGGCTTACAAAAAGAATCTTCAAAGATTCATGACAGTTACAAAAGATAGCCAACCACTCATCCAAAAATAAATTATAACATTTAAATATTTAAATAAATAGATAGTCGGATGCATTCTAAATAGGAGGCACTATCAGGTCAGTGTTGAGATGACGCTTTGACAAAAGGCGATCCATTTACTCAGGAATTCGACAATGGTGGAGGTCTTCTCGTCGTAGTCGCATGTGAATGTGGTTTCAGAGCCCTATAAAACGAAAAGGTTAGCGGTTTTTATTTAGATAGTTTATCTGTAGTCATCCTCCACTGAAGTCTTGTTTTGAAGCATGTTAATCAGACACATCTTCTTAAACTGATCAAAGTCATGGACCAAATGAAGACCAGATGAAGGGTACCCTTTTTAAATAAACAGTTTTAGTGTTATGTACCCTTACACATGATTATTTAAAGAATGTAATTGGGGGTTCACAAAGCTTTTGACGTTTTCTATTTTTTCTTATTTTCACATAACGATGATAAATGTATCAAGAGTTTAGAGCAGAGGTTCTCAACCTCTGTGGGTCATGACCCCTTTGGGGGTCGAACCACCCTTCCACGGGGGTCACCCAATTCATTACAGTAGCAACATTACAGTTAGGAAGTAGCAACGAAAATAATTTTATGGTTGGGGGATCACCGCAACATGAGGAACTTGTTTTAAAGGGTCGTGGCATTAGGAAGGTTGGGAACCACTGGGGGGATGTAGAGTGAGTTTCTGAGGTTGATGAAGAATGTTAGAACAAATCTCTTGAGAGAGATGATATTGACCTCAAGGCTTAAAGATGCCATTAAACTGAATCATTCCACTAATAAAGTAACTCTTAATTTGAAAAAAAAGGTAGAGCTACATATTTTCAGAAACATGGTTCTTCTGCAATTAAAATTGTGCTACTTTTTTATGATAGCTACTTATGAATGCATTTTGTATTTTTGTAGTTGAGATGGGAACAGAAAACCATAATGCTCTTTCATCTTGCCAGTCTATTGTGCATTTTAAAAATACTAAGATACTTGAGAAGGGGCACAACCCTCTAAATAAAGGGTTATTTATCTAGTTCACTGCCACTTTAATGATTCTCATTTTTAGGACCAATCTCTATGGTCCTTCAACCATATGATAGGGAAACACCATTTTTTAAGTTATTGACTATCCTGGTTAATGATCTGAAGGAATTTTAAAAAGATATAATAAAATCATGCTGCCTTTTGTGAAATACAGTACCTCTTCAACCTTTCAACACAACACAAAACAAAACAGAAGCCAAGCCCACTCAAGAGATACTATAGGACAGGGCCCTGGGGGGTTCTGTAACTTGCTTTCCCGCTGTCCCCCAACACATAACCCAGTAAGGTTCCCGGGCTCCACTAAGACCTCACCTTTAGCTTCAGAGCTTGACATTAATATTGCTGATTCATTCCCTGGTGCTTTCTCCCACTCCTAATTTGCATGAACATGAGTGGTTGGCTTAGTGTGGCTGACCAGTAGCAGATTATTTACTATTACTATTCATGTGGAGGCTGAGCCTCCTCCCTAAGTGAATGGTGGGGAGAAGCCTTCTAGTTGATGCTTTCCAGCTGGACAGTGTATCCTTTAACACTGAAAATGATTCGTGGTCCCAGTGGACTTCAGTGGCTGACCAGTCAAACACTTGACGACTTCACAAAATACCCCAACGCTCAAACATTTTAAAATGCACCATTTTCTCTTTCATTATTATTTTTTTCCCCAGCAGAGCAGAATAACACCTCACCTTTAGCTCCAGCGCTGTGACATTAATATTGCTGATTAATTCACTAGTGTCTTCTTTGTTTTGAGCTATATTCAGCACATCCTCCAAAGGTTTGAGTTCTCCAACTAAACACTGAAGATGTTTCAATTCTGTGACCTAGAACAATAATAAAAATAGTTGCCATTTCACTTTACTCTAGATTAAAAGCCAGAATAAGAAATTAATCTCTAGTATATTTGATTAAGAAAGGTAGTACAAAATTCTCACTATTCTCTCTTTCAGCATTACTATAAAAATGGATCAATATTATAGTTACATTTCTAGCCTAGAAAAAGTAGCACTCAACAAAAGCAAGCATTAACAGTTAATAACTAATGGGTCACTAATTTCAGCTTAATTCGACTTTTCAAAACAACATGTTGGCAAATCAGAAATACAAATTGACTGCTTCTCTCATGTACAGAAATCATTAAAACTAGAATAATCAGAACCTGGATGTGTAGCACTCACACTTTGTGATTTTAATAGTTGATCATCTGAGAGATGACAATCATAGGCTGTTAGGGACAGAGGACATAGATGCTATCACAGTTCCAACATTAAGTCATTTTCACTGTGTGCTAATGGCTCTCAATGTAGCCTAGAAAAGTCACATGAAACTGTGTGTTAAAGTTTTACTTTTCTGCGATAACTACGTTAGGATGCATTTTTGTCCAAAGCAAATGACAGGTTGCAATACTTAAGGTGTTGAGTTTTTTAAAATACCCAAACCAGAAAAACAATTACCCTAAAATCAATTCCAATTCATAGCAACCCTATAGGACAGAGCAGAGCTGCCCCACGTGGTTTCCAAAGCTCTAAATCTTTATGGAAGCAAATTGTATCATTCTCCTGTAGATGGCTAGGAGTGGGGGGGGCGTGTTAGGTTTGAACTGCCAACCTTTTGGTTAGCAATCAAGTGATTAACTCGTGCTACCAGGGCTCCTTGTGATGAATTTATTTGTTTTCTTATTTATTTTACTCTTGTCTAATTTTGGATAGGCCTCATTTAGACACAGCAGATTCCTGTGCAGCACAAGTAATTTCAGTACTGGATTGCTAGCCGGACAATTGTCATTTCAAACCCAGACAGTGGTGCCTCGGAGGATAGACTTGTCAGTCTGATTCCTATAGGTCAACCTTGAATTCTACTCTGAACATGTGGTTATCATGAGTCAGAATGGACTCGGGGGCAACTCACAAGAACCTATTTATACATTGAAAACAAGCACAGTACCATCAAGTCAATATGGATTTACAGTTACCCTTTATAGAGTTTCCAACACTGTTCACCTTTATAGTCTCAGACAACCTCATTTCTTCCCTGGAGGGGCTGGTGGATTTGAATCGGCAACTTTGTGGTTAACAGTCCACTGCGTAACCCACAGCAACACCAGGGCTCCTGTTTTGCTGTGTGTTTTTTTACATATGAGTATATAAATATCATCATCATGTATTCATGTTGATGTGTATAAATTCACTGCCATCGTAAAAATTCTGACTCATAGCAAAACCGTCCCTTAGCATTTCCAAGACTATAAATCCAGAAGAGCAGAAAGCCTCATCTTTTTTCCCTCTGAGAAGCTGGGGGATTCAAACCACTGACCTTGAGGCGAGTAGCCCAACCTATAACTCACTATGCCTTGAAGGCTGCTGAAAAAATATTTTTATAGCTTTCTAACCTCTCTTGTGAACACAAAATGGTAGGAAAATGAACCAGTGAGTGACATTTATCACATTACTTTTGCTTTCAAATACAATTTGAGTTGTCATTTAGAAACTTCATTTTCAGAGACTCCTTCCTCGTAAATTATACATATATTCTCATATTATCTTTCTAACAATCTTTAGAGTGAAAAGTAAAACTAACAACACTTCTCTTGACATTTCCATCTACTACTCTTCCAACTTGCTGCTACAACTTTAGGTTTGACGTTTCTTTTGTTGTGAGCAACCCTGAGCTATTTCTCTCAGAAAAGAGAATCTCATGTCTTTTCCACTGTTATGGATAAGAGTGATGGGGCTCTGGGGGGGACCGCTGTACATTTCTGCCTTTTCATCTTTAAAAGCAGTTTAAAGCAGAATTCCCTTGAGTTAATAGATGTGGGACAGTAATAGGATTTTCCCTATGCCCCCCTTTGCTGCTTTTCTTTCTGTGCTTGGATTCACCCTGGACAAGCTCCTTCTGGCACCCAAGTGTTGGCTGGAACAACGACTAGGAAACTTCTAAACTCTATTGTAGCTCCCTGCACCTGAATGATTTACCTCTATCTTTCTAGACCCCCAAACAACCAAAGGAAGCTTCAAATGTTGGAAATAGGTCATAGAGCACTATAACTCTCCAGATTCATTATCAGAAACTATGTGTAAATCCAGATTTAAACTCTCCAATGAGAATTGCCTGGCTTCTATAAGCAATAGCTCAGCCATCTCTAATGTTTCTGAAGTGCCAGACAGTGTTCTGTGTCCTTATTAAGTGAGTATCATTATTATTCCCCCTTAAAGATGAGAAACGGAGTCACAAAGTGATCCCAGAGCTGGTCTATGCTATTAGTTACTGAGCTGGGTTGCCTCTCAAAGAGAGACTCCCTAAGCCTCTTTTCTATAACAAAGGAGGCTTTAAAGTGGGATTCTGAGAAATAAATTCTGATATTTTCCATCATATAATACTAACATCAAACCTATATAGAGTTTTGCATCTCAAATGAAATAGATTAACATAATCCATCCCTGTAAATTATCCAGGAGATAAAGTAAAAGTATTATCCTATCTCTTTCCTTCCCAAGCTTCTCCTCCACAAAACACATATCTAAAAAAGTGCAGGCAAAGCCTTTCAACAGAAATCACCTTATCACATAGAGATTTAAAATAAATATTGTCAACTTATTTGCTTTCTTTAAGATGAGGTGAATTGGTGCAATGAGTGTTCAAGTTCTCGAATTGCTTTTGAGTTTTAAAACAAAAATTTAACACAGAAAATTGTACTTACCTTCTTAGGCAGGTAAAATTTAAATCGGAGCATCATGGAGAGTTTGGAAGTCTCGTAATTCTGAGAAAGCATAATACATTATTTATTTTTAAAAACTGGCCCCAAGCAGAAAAACTAAATGTAAGAATTTCTTAAAAAAGGGGGATACTTACATTGACTCTTCTCAAAGTCACATCTAAATCTCCCAGCAATTGCTCCAGTTGTTGGTGCATTGCCTTTGTCGAGCGAGAAGTGGGTGCACTGTGTGTGATGAGGGCCAGAGTCAGTGCCAGGCAGGACAACCACTGCATCCTGTACATGGTGGCCGGAGGTGAGGGTGCTGTGAGTAGTGATTACAAGAGGTCTATAGGAAGGTCTGGAACAAGAGAAGCAATTTATACTGTGAATTCTGGAAAAAAAATATCCTGGGGGTGTCAAGCAAAAATGTTTTACATATTACACATACTTTCAGAGACTCTACCTGTGTGGCAAAACAGCATTACCTTTATTTTTCCTCTTCTGATGACTCTTTGGAATTTCTTTAAACCCCAGTAAACTGACTGAATGGATGTAGGTGAAATCCCTCTTGGTTACGTTAGCCCACACTTAGGTGGCAGTTCTAATTCATAAAACTAACGCCTTCTGTATGAAACAAATTTTCCTCCTCTTTCATTCAGAGAGAGGGGATACCAAAGCGGCTCATGAAAATTTTCTCTCTGTCGTAAAACCATGCGGCATCTGTGAGCAGTGAGCTGCGGTGGACAAGAGCAAGAGTCAATAGATGAAAAGAATAAAAGTTTAGATTTGTTGATTAAACAGGAAGAATATTGGTTTCCTGTTTCAGGATGCTTTTACCTTTTTATCTACACAATTTAGCTAATGCCTACAATGTGATAGATTACTTTTCACACAATCAGCTAGAACATAAATATTAAGATTAGAATATATATAATTTTTAATTCAGTTTGAGGTGTTGCTTTAAACAACTTCTAAACACTTTTCTTGTGTCTATTTAAATCGCTTCATGTTTGTAGTACCTTTTTTTTTAAAAGGATATGATATTTAACAAATAAATATGAGCTTGCTTCCAAGAGTACTGATGCTCGTTTGGTCATAGACTATAATATGTTCAGTATGTAAACTAATTCATAAGTTTATAATTTTTATATTTTTATATCTTTAGTAGATCAAGATCTAGCCTTTTAAAATACCTGAAGCACTCTGACTATAAAGGTTGTGATTGTGAAATATAATCAGATCAACTTTTCTTTTTTTGGTCAGTAAACTGGGTAAAAAGAACCCTGGTCATGTAGAGGGTCACATATTGGCCTTCTGACTGCAAGGTCAGCAGTTTGAAACCATCAGGCACTTCTCAGGGGAAAGATGAGGCTGTCTACTCTTGTGAAAAATTGAAGTATCATTGGTTTTATATTTTTATGTTTACCAGTATATGAAATCCAGGTTGAGTGAAACTATAGAGACAGTAATTGGTTTAAGGGTTCCTTGGGTGTATGGCAGGGAAGATTAAGGGGAAATGGGAAATGGTAGATATTAACAAAAGTAGAAAATGTTCTAAAATTGATTGTGGTAAAGATTATACAGCACTTTTTATATGATTGAACTGTTGAATTATATGGTATTTGGATTATAACCCGATAAAATGATTTATGTGTATATATGTATATCTACATACATACATGCTTATGTATATGTATGTATATACACATTGTAAAATCTATTTTCTGATTGGTCATGAAAGATGGGAGGGAGTTTGGGGTCAATTTGGGAAACCATCTATCACGGTGATTCTTTTATCTTTCTATTTTCTCCAATACTACTGAGGTCAAATGCTGCTTATATTCATTTTCATGCCCTCGTGGCGTTTAGCCCCACAGCAAAGGCACGGGAAACGTACAGTAGTCTGAAAGCCCACCGATGCATCAGTGAGGACTGTGGCTGTTCCGTGTGCCAGTTCTCAGCACCTCAGCCACTCAACAGTGAAGGCGTACGCTGCAGAGGCCAGAATGCCAAGGTGGACATGATTTGGCCGTGTTTAAACTGGGTGAACTGGAATAAAAATTTTCTTTGTTTTCCACATTATGAACGGTTTCTTCATTGTAGAATGACAATTAAAATCTGTATCTCATAATTGTGAGGATTAAATAAAATAATGTTTAGAAAAAGTCAGATTCCATGCCAGGTATATAGTAAATATTCAAAGTATATATATTTTTTAATTTGATGTTTCAGAAACCAAGAGAGTTCTACTCTGCCCTTTTCTGTTGCTATGAGTTATAATTGACTCATTGGCAGTGAGCTTGGTTTGGTGTTTTCAAAACTGGCTTTAATATTTAGAATGTGTGTTTATGCATCTTTCATGAAATACACTGACTAGAAGATGTGTATCCTTCCAACTTAATCTGGGGAGAACTGAGGATACCCTGGCTCAAACAGAGGGCTTCTAATTCCTCTATTTTTACTGATTTTTTTCTTGTCTAGCTTTTATATTAATCTAGAACCTGGAATAACATCAGGTATATAGAAAGGAAGGATACAATCTCATTTGAGCCTCACAGAAAACGTATGAGTTGATGGTTCTTGCTTTTCAAATTAAAAAACTGAGGCTCAGAGAAGTTAAATAATCTGCCCTAGGTCATTCAGTTAGCAGTAGACAGCACAGGGATTGGAAGTCGACAGAACCCTCTGCCTTCACAGTCTGTTCTTGTTCCACTTTTATTTCCTCTCAAAGAAACTCATGTGTTATGGGGAAGTTCACATATGTACAAACATAGACACTAGTGATCCTAGGTAGAAGGGGGTCTGTGTCAAGAGAAGTGGACATAAAGAATTATGAAGGATCAGTTCCTATCATAGGCTTTGAACTGTAATTAAGCTGTTGATCTATAAATGTAGGGTTAGACAAAAAGTGAGTTATAAGGTCAAGCATTCTAAGGAAGATTCGATTTAATCTCTTATGGAGAAGAGGAAAAAGATTCCGTCATACTACTCTGCATTAGGAAATATTCTGGCGGATACAAAGTTTAAATATAAAACTTCTAGTTCTCCAGGTAGGAAAAGAAATGAAGGGAGAGCCAGAAGAGGGCCAAATCTTCTCATTACTGAAAAGCTGTAAAATGTCTCACTGCTGTATCTTTCGAATCAAAACCACAAAGTGAGAAGCTGTTGAACCACCCGTGACACCACTTTATGACACACTGTTTGCTTCTCTAGAGCCTTGAGCGGCTCACCCAAGCTTATCAACTCAGGCCTTTACCTTTTCAAATTGGAAGAATCCAGGCCCACTCATTTCCCAACAAGGCCTTTCTTGTTCTCACGGTCTTGCTATCTATTGTTTCTGCAGATGATCCGTTGGAGATTGGGCCTGTGCATAGTTGTATTTCAGGGACCCTGTAAATATTCAGTTCCTGGGCTTCTGGCCTCTCCTCCCTGGTCGACAGCATGTACAGACGTTCCGCGCCTGGAGAGAGCTGCCATTTACTGTGGCATACTTTCGCTTTTAAATATGTCCTGACACGTCAGCTGGCTTTGCTGGCTCTCGTGGTTGCAAAGTCAGTAGGAGCCTGCTAACGAGGTGTGTCACACCTCTGCTTCCCCTTTGAAAATAAAATTGTACAATTCAACAAGAAGCTACTTGAGTCCCTTAGCGTTGTTCGTGACTCAGCCTTTCAGACTCAAGGTCTGCCCAGGACTTAAAAAGGGCAGCCAGAGCCCCTGGAGCTGCCTGCCAGGAGATTGTCCATTTGCCAGGGCGGTCAAACCCGCCCTCCCACCCACCCCAGTAAGCATTTCTTCTTTCTGACCCACTTTCATGAGAAGGAGCCCTGGGGGTGATGACGCATTGATCTGTGTTCTACAGAGGCAACAGTTCGAATCCACCACCACTCCCTGGGAGAAATACTACTGGGTCTGGACTCCAGTAAACAGTGACCGTCTTGTGAACCCACTGGGGTCGTTATGAGTCAGCATTGACTCCATCGCAGTGAGTTCATGGTGTGTCTGTAGCTTTGCAGAAGGGTGCTCGTGCCAGGAGATTGAGGGATCCATCTCTTGTCAGGTTCTCCCAAGTCCCGTTGCCCTTTCTGTTCTCCCTCTTTTGAGTTACGACGTGTCTTTGAATGATTTCCCGACCACTCCGAGAATTTCCCATGAAAATCTTCATTTGCTCAGGCACAGGCTGGTACACAGCCTCTGTGCTCATCAGACCGGTGGTCCTCCATACTTAGTACCGCTCTGTCAATCGGTTTGCCCAGTTAGGTCTCCTCTGTGTGTGTGCTGCTCTGTGATGGGGTACATTTTAATGATCATCTTTTGGAAAGGAAGAATTATTTGTTTGCACTCTTAATTTTACAAAATGTTTTCAAATATACTCTCGATGCTAGGAAATTTGGGGGTGTGGTGCCAAGCTTAAGGGACTTAAGGATCACACTCTTCGTTAGTGGTGCAGAGCAAAAGACAAAGCTCCCCCCACCATTTCCCCCCAGTTCATATAGCCATAGGTTTATTCCAAATAAAGCTTGTGTAAACATGTTCTGTGGTCTTTTGACAATTGGAGACTAGGTTTTTTGTTGTAGTTGTTGTTTATAATACCCTTGTCTTTTCTCATTAGGTTGTCTTTTAAAAAGGTTCAGCCAAAACAGAGACTTCTGAGGAGATCTTTTGGGCCAGTTAAGTTGAAGAACTATAGATCATTGCAGAGGCTATGGTGTGGGGAGTGGCGGGGTGGGGGGGGGGCAGGGGGGGCAGCAAATGGTACTTTTGATATACTTTCTCTAGGGACATGGAACAATCACAGGGGAGGGAACAGATTATGAAGTAGTTTTAGGAAAATTTGCAATCGTATTGATGAGGTAAAAGGCAAGAAAATTGTGCCAAGAGTTTTACCCCCCTTCATGAAAATGCACCTGCTCTTTCTTCAATTGTAGCAAGGGCTGTCTCATAAAAATTTCATTAGGAAATTTTACTTCATTCACCCTGATCTTTCCCCTCAGGTTTTTGTGGTTTTTTTGGTTCCCAAAACTTAAAGAACATTTAAAAGGAATATAATTTGAATGCCTCAAAGAAATCCAAACTGCCATTGGAATGTGGTAAATCAAAGAATGTAAAATTCTCTGAGGGAAAATAGGGACCTGGGAGCATGTCCTCTAGAAGCTGCAGACTTAGATGATAGGTTGAGAAACGGTAACCACTCTGTGCGATTTTTATTCACTCCGTGTTTGCATCATTTTTTGGTAATACTATTTTACTTTTTCTCATATGTACAAATCGCTCTAAGTAAACCAGTAACTCTTTCTTCCCTCTCTCTCACTTTCTTTTTTTATTAACCAAT